GACTTCGATATCCGAAATAAAATGAATTAATTATCCACGCATTATCGCAAGAATTAATTATCCATGCATTTATCAAAGCATTATCACGGTCGTCGCTGCATTATTCGTTTGATACTTCAATTGGACGTCACTTTGTCAGTTTCTTGACATGTATTTCTTGCTTTTATATTCATTTGGTTAAATATTTCAACTTGAATGAGAAATTTATTTTATTAAAGATTTCTTCGGATCGGATCGGATTGGAATTCTTTATCAAAACTCGGATCGGATTCGGATTAGACAATTTCGGATCGGATCGGATTTTAAACATTAGGCAATTGTCGGATTATAAACGTCCAATCCGATCCGATGCACACCTCTACTGTCTAATGACTTTACAGTAATAATATGCAAACAGAACTATGGCCGACATCTAAATATTTCTCACTATTAAATATAATATTTTACAGTTTATCAATGAAATAACATAACTGCATAGGTGAGAAATACCAATAATTTCCAGGGCCGTAGGAAGCTCTTTTCGATTGGGGCTGAAAGCGAGGGCCGAAGGCTCGAGAAAATTTTAAAATTTAGAGTCTCTGAAATGCCATTTCCCTGACTGTGGGGAAGATTTGACAGTATTCAGATAGTCGAAACCAGCGTTTTAGTATGTCGAAATTTACAATTTAGTAGTACTAAATGGGCGAGGCGTATTTAATTAACTATATATTGAATAAGTTGCAGGAAAGTATGGGTAATATCTTCATTCTTTGCAGTTTGTCACGGATTAAATGATAAAGGTCTGCATGATTTTGAAAAAAGAATGATTATTAGCAAATTATTGAGGGGAGCTGCAGCCCCCCAGCCCCCCGGTTGCTACGGCCCCGGTTTGACAAAAGTTTGGTGACTGATTATATAAAACGTCTCGGAATTGAGTCGGAAACAATACGAACTGGCATTACTGACTACAGAGTACAGATTACACTGAGTACTGAAATTTCTGCTATTAAAAATAATATACTTCACTACAAGCACTAGATCATTAATGCAGACATTTATAGTTCACTGGGACGCTGGCTCTCGCCGGCGTCGCCGCTACAATAATACGCTCGACCTCGACATGTTGCCTCTGGAGCAAAATTTCAATTTTATTTTATTATTTACTATTTATTGGGCCATGTAAACCTAGCTCTATCGCGATATAATATAAATACAAGAATAAGCTAGCTGATATAGACTGCGAGCAGTCCCTCCTTTCCGCGGATTATATCGCTATTATCGCAATGTAATAATACAAGAATAAACTAGCTGATATAAATCAGCTGCTGACTTATAATTTTATATCAAAACTATCCACTGGCACTTATTCATTTATACATCGCTCCGTATCTTTCATAGATAAACCACTGTGCTATAATACTATCAACCTCAGATGTAATACACTCTAGTCTACATGATTTCACTAGCATTTCACACCGCCGCTCAATAGTCACCGCTCGTCCATGTGCGCCATTGTAAAATAATAACATATGAGAGCACGTGTATTATGCACGTGTATTTATATGTTGCAGAGGGCCATATCATATAATAACAAGTGCTTGAAATGCAACAGTAATTAGGTTATAACTTCTCTAAATGTCGGATAAATAAGTAAGAACATGTACCATCATGAATATAAATATAGATTGTTATAATCTACAAACAGCTATGAACGATTAGTTGGCCGAACATCGCGAAGCTCTAGAAAACGTGACAAAAAATCAATTGCAAGCTCCCCCCGGATTGTTTACTCTATCAATCCATAGATCGATCGATCCATTGATCGGTCACTGAATTGAAGATTTAACCTCATAACAATAGTGCAAAGCAAATTTGCACTAAAAATGAATAATCGTTGAATCCTGTTATTGACTGTATCGTTGAAAACTCAAGACTAAATCGTTGACTTTAATGATAATTAAATCCTTAAACTGAATCATTCGTTACTAATTAAGTTTGAGTATTGGAATCCTAAATTGTGTCATTAAAACCTAAGATGGAATAACTTAATCCTAACTTTGAGAAAATGTGGCGTAATCGGGTCCTGAAAGACCTGAAATGAAGTTCTTCATTACTAAGATTGAATCGTTGATTCCTTAGATGAATCTTTGAATCTAAGATTGATTCTTAATTTGAATCCAAGAATTGAATCTTTAAATCTAGATATTTAACCATTGAATTAATATTAAGTCATTAATTTCTGAGATTGCAATATTAAATCGCAAAATTGAATTAGTGAATCATATGATTGATTGAATTCTCACAATCCTAAGGTTGTTTCAGTTAATTGGAAAATTGATTTCCTAAAATATAACCGTGGAGTCTCAAGATTAAATCCTTGAATACTAAGAGAAAATCAACGTAATTCAGATCATGAATCATTTATTCTTACTGCCGAGATTCTAAGATTGAATAATTAAATCCTAAAGATGATCTAAAATTCCGTCATTGAAACAGATGATTGAAGTATTTCTTCCAAACATTGAGATATTAAATTTTTTCAATTAATCATCGAGTGTCATATAGATTCACTCACTGAATTGTAAGATTGAATGCTTGAATGTTATATATGAGATTTAATATTTAATCGTGATTCATAAACTAGCTGGAACCAATTAATCTTAAAACTGATTCATTATTTCCTAAAATGGCTAAATAAGAAAATTGAACCATTTAAGGCGAGAGCGTATGTCAGTGTTAACGTACGGTGTATAAAATTCAAATTGTGCTCATTCGAGAAACTAACCATCACGGCTAGGCGAGATCCCACCTTGCGCCAGGTCTCAGTCATGTGCAATAGAATTTCCCATATATGAAGGCTTTATGTCGCCTGATCGGGATGGACATTTTTGGCGATATTCAAATATACTATGGTATTGAAAGGCATAGTTGGCAATAGACCTAAACTGACACTATCAAAGTTGGAACAAAAGGTGCGCTGTTTGTTTAATTACAACAAAAAGACGCCATGTCGTCCCAAAAAATTCGTCCTATTCAACTGAACTTTCCTGCAAACCGCGCTCATATATGATTCATATGAAAAACGCCCTTAGACGAATGACTGATTCATGCAGTTGGAGGCTATGAACACGGAGTTATCGTGGCCATGGTCAAAGCAATGTGGGTCTCACAATTGATAATAATAGAGAGTTTAAGCTTCGCGTTATACATCAAACGGCAAACTCCAGGCAAAGAAAAATTTTACGATATCAGGCAATAAAGAGTAAATTAGCTTGCTGTTTTAAAACTGAAATACGTAATTATTCTTACGACACAAGAAAGAAAAATGAAACGAAAACGTTTAACAAAAATTTTGCCAAGAAAATTCAAACTTGCCGTTTGCCGTTCCCGGAAACGTGAAGCTTAAACTTCCTCAGAATGCTCAAGTTTAATCATGGTTATATCAATTAACGGACAAATCTAGTGTTTCCGGCTTTCGTACAACCGGTCCCTGATGGGTAACATTGGTATGAAATGACTTTTTAAAATATTGCTTGCAGTAGGTCCTTTTCTGTCGAAGCATGAAAATTGGAGAAAAATGCGTTCCGAAACCTGGAGTTGCTGTTGCCTTTATTCGAACCCTATCGCCTGTTGTGATGCCTGAAGAAGAGACATTATTGAAGAAGAAGAAGGAGAAGAAGAGGCAGAGAAGTTGTTGGGCATCCCGGTCTTGCAATCCCCGAAACCAAAACAGAGTTAAACCCAAAGTTGAAATGACACCAGAATCCTAACGATAACAATTTATTTCCTAATCCCCAAAAAAAAAACAACTCGCAGTTCTGCTGAAAAACATTGTCCCACGGCCTTGAACTAGCATCTCATTAGTTAATATAAATGTTATACTAAACATATGAAAATTGGTACCAATGTAAACTTTGCGCAATTACATGTCACATATTGAGAGAGCTTCGGCGTATACGTCACAGGGGTCCCAGCTACTAATTATCGAATGCTAAGGGACCAGTCATTCATTACAGGGGAAAGGGGGGGAGGCTGGTGGAAATGAAAAATAAGATGCTAAAATTTTGTTGCCCCCCCCTCCCTTAAGGATGACACAATTATATTTGACCCCCCCCCCCGCCCCCAATGACAAAAGGAACATTTGTAATTTAAAGTTCTTACAATGTGAAACCATATTTAAGCATACTATCCTATCATAGTTGCCAACTTTGGAAAAAAAACATCCGTGAGATTTTGCTTTGGGGGGCTCACGAGGCGCCAAGCGAAAAATTTTTTGAAAATATGGAGGTCGCAAGATCGTTGGAAATGGTTTTTTTCAGAGTCTTTTATACCTTATGCACAAACATTTTGGCAGCTTTTATTTAGATATACGTATACAAAACTATATTGTTGAATACCCACGAGTACAATGTTGCATGAAGTGATGTTTTGATTATCTATTTTTGGCTCAATGGTGTGAATTTTTTCAGAAGAAAAAAGTGTTATGTAATTTGACGCAAATGAAGTCACTCTTAATAGTTAAAATGTGCCACAAAGCCAACATATTTAAGAACCATGGGGGTTATTTTCGAAATCCATGAGAATCCGTGAGATATTAACAAGCTGGAGCTCACCGTGAGGTTTTTATAGTAAAAGTCTGTGATGCTCATGGTGGATCCGTGAGAGTTGGCAACTATGCCCTGTATACATGTATCACGATTTATATATTCTTTACCATTTTTTGAGTCAACAGCTGTTCCGAAGTATATGCTTATGCTGAAATCAGTTTAATAAGTGGTGTTGTGTTGGAGTTTACTACAGTTCTACTGCTCCCTATTTTTATCTGTAGGTTTTATGATACGACGGGGTCATGCCGGGGCTGGTATTTATATTGCACAAAAATGTTTGACCCCCCTTTTTCATGCACAAAAATATCTGACCCCTCCTCGTTTTCCACCAGCCCCCCTCCCCTGTAATTAATGACCGGTCCCTAAGATGGCTGTTACATACTGTATATATAAATTTCTCTTTGCTTCTATAAGGTGAAGCTGCCTAAGAAACACATTATCAAATACACTCAATATCACATGAAGTTTGCGGAGACAAACGCTCATCTAATACAACAATTTCGTCGCCAAGTACACACGTTGAGAAGTGAAGAGGTGATTGCCAACCCAGAATTGGAACTACGCAAGATATGTCGATTCTTGAATATACAATGTTCAACAAAATATGTCAGTGATTGTAGCAGTATTGTTAGGAGTAAAATATCAAGATCAAGGAATGGTATTGTTTGGAATAAGGAAGTCAAGAATATTATATTTAGTTATATAAAACGAATTCCTTTTTATCGAAATTATAAATTTGATGAATAATTGTAGTCATGGAAGAATAGTGCGTCAATCGTAAATTTAATGTATATAATGATATAGTAAGGTAAGGTTGGTTGTGTAAGTCAATGGAGAGTATCATGTTGCATGTTGCCTGCGAGCAGGCATTCATTCGGGTTGATTGGAAATAAACGCCTGCCAGCATAGTTTCTAATTATCATTTTATAGACCCGTGCAAGGGAGGTTCGGCGAAATATTACCCGAAGTCATGACGAGATCACTGAGGGTTATTAACTCATATATTATACTTATAAGTAATAGCATGGCATTCAGGGCGATTAGTGATTAAATGTACCCGAAACCCGAGAGAGGTTTAGTAAAAGTCCCGAGACGCGTAGCGCCGAGGGACTTTTACTAAACCTCTCGAGGCTTGAGGGACATTTCGTCACTAATCGACCGTAATGCCATGCTATTACTTTGTAATATCATAGTTAACGAGGGAATCGCGCGTGGTGTGTTGCTTGTTTTGAATGCTGTTTGATTGTCTTATGATTGTGGTACGAACACTTTTCATATATACGCACGCGCAGAACTACATCTCCGCGTTCATTGGCGTTTTAGGCATACGCATAAACGGAATTTTCTCCCACAATTGAAATGTTCACGATTAGGGAATAAAAGCTGGCAAAGTGATTGTTCGAATGTGTACGGGACGATACAGCTCTCCAATCAGAGGTAATGAGGTACGCTTTTGTCTTCTAAATTTCCCTCATCAAGCATGCAGGGGGAAATTAGAAGACAAAGAAATCCTTTGTTTTCAACTAAATTTCCCTCATCAAGCATGCAGGGAAAAATTAGAAGACAAAGAAATCCTTTGTTTTCAACTAAATTTCCCGGGGAAATTTAGAAGACAAAAGCGTATGCATGGGTAATGAGGGAAATACGTGATTAAACGTCCCTGTTGAAACAAAAGAACCGAGTTAACTATGATATTACAAAAGTTATAGAACCCACTAAATTCAGAATAAACGTACTGAATAACTAAGCAAATACAATTATATTTATTTACACCTGAGTTTTGACGTCTCCAAATTATTTTTTTATTGAACCGATATCCTTTAGATCATTGAAGGTAACATATATAACTTCCAATATTATAGCTCAAATTCAAATTGTCCAATCAAACAACAGCATTTGTAGCACGTGACCATGTGATTTTTACTGTATTTTACTCAAATTTATGATATCTCAGAGTAAATCTGGCGTGGTATACTGTCGTATCTTCACGCAACAAGCGTGTACATCACGCGCTGAAACAAAATACCGTTCGCGAGTTGTTGTTTGTAATTCCGCATAAAAAATATTGATTTAACTAAAGATTTTCAAGAGGTACACTTTCAATTATCAAAAGCTGAAGTTACAGGTTCAAATATTTAAAGGTAAAACGTCAAAACCTCTGTATAAATAAGAAATTAAACTTTATATTCGCTCACTTGTTCAGCAAATTTATTCTCGACTTATTGGGTTCTTTAACTTTCGGTATAATATATCATTTATAGACGCTCGGTTGATTTGGTAAAATATTACTCTCAGCGATCATATTTTCTTCGGGGCAAAGTCAAGGGAATATGATTCAACGTCATCACTTCGGGTAATATTTCCCCAAATCCTCCTCTCTGCGGGTCTATAGATGACACATATTAACGTGAAAATCTTTAGTTAAAACAAGAAATCTTTGCGTAGGAGAGCGCCATATTTTCTTCATTAGACTAATCGCGTCGTGTGAGCGTGAGGTACGCCAGATTATCCAAGAGTATTTGAGCGAAGACTTCGAAAAGATTCAACGGCGTGCTTTGCGAATCTCGTTGCCATTAATGAGTTACAGAGAAGCACGGAATTTTACTGGTATCCCTTTACTAAAAGCAAGGAGAGAAACATTATGTGAACAATTTTTTAAAAAGAATGAGAATAACGATAAACTAAGCGAACTATTGCATCATAAAGCAACAGCAGACTACGATATGCAACCAAGATGCAAGTATAACAATTATCTATGTAGAACTGAACGTTTTAGGAAATCGTTTTTTCCTCAAATTATTTCCAAAGAAAACAGTAAATAACTGAGTAGAAGTATAGGCCTATTGTTTTTTGCTACTTTTGAACTCTTAATATTTCTTAATAATGTAATATAACGATAACTTAATACTTTTTAACAGTAGATACAAATTTTGTAAATTTCTAATGTAATTTAACCTATTGGTTACAAAATCAGTTTTAAATAAATTATTATTAAAATGAATATTATAATATCTCACGCTGCATTCCATATATCATAGAATTGGATTACCATAAAAAATTCACAGCGCCACGTCTTTCACAAAAAAAGTGCCCTCCCCCATTAAAGATGGTATACCCTGTTCTTTGTTATCGTAAGTAAACTTAATTAACTTACCTGTTTAGTTTTGTGTATATGTGTAAGTAAAAATTTTGATTTCAAGTCATGAATTAGATAAATAGATACGTTTAGAAAGATTTAGCTCACAATTTAAGATGGCGGAGTTCAATCAGAAGTGTGCCAAAATTATCAAATTCTTCGCGCTACAATGTTCTAATATTCTTAACTTAATCACAAAAGTGAAATGGCATAAAGCTCCAATAGCTATTGTAATTTTTTCATGCGCGCAATCTTATCGTCCGGAAACTTAATGGCTAGGATGTTGTGCAGTATGGAAAGTATTTCTTTAATATAATTTATTACACTTTGCCTCAACAGGCTTGGAAACCGCAACAGCTACGGCCATTTACTGCAGATCCAATATAATAGGATACATCAAGTTTAATACCCACTAACAATATTAATGATTACAATTACCAACAAAACATACAAACAAATACAGACATTAACAAAATTAAGACATATACAGACATTAAAAACAGCGCGTACTAGGAAGAGACAGAAGACTACCAGCAGAGCCGCACTTAACACAACCTGATTTCCATGTCCGTGCATCTTTAGAGTCATAAGTTGATTTTAAGGCGCTCTGGTAATATTTCTTCAAAAAGTGTTTGTAGGAAGACAGAGACGTTGTGTTCCTACGTATTTCCTTTGGCAGAACATTCCGCACCCTTTTTTATCAAACCAAGTATACGATCTATATATAGCGTAAGTTGAAGTTCGACACACTGTTGCTCTAACATAATGGCGCCATCAGCTCGACTGCTAGATCTTGTTGACCTTCCTGGTTCTTTGACTGTCGGTAAAAGTGCTTTATCTGTGTAAGTTGTGTTGTTATATAGTATATGTTTGAATAGTATAGTACCATGTCCAAATATTCCAGATAAGTCGTTCTCTCTATCTGTCAGGGCAGCGATATGGTAGTTGAAGTATGTATTTAGTGGCATGTCGTTGAATTCGTTTATATTTCTTTGATCAGTTCCACAGTTTGAGGGGCCCAGACCTGCTATGCAAAAGCAAGATGTGCAAGAACAACAGTCAGATAGATTGTTCTCCTAGTTCTCACACTTCCTATGCGTTGTGTTGTTCTCTTTGCATAGCCCAATTAAGATCTTGTTTGGCTTTAGCACTTTGTGTTCGCACTTATTTCTTCCACGTCAGGTCAGATGATATCAAAACTCCAAAGCCTTTTTCATGACTGTAATGTTCTACATGTGAGAGTCGTCCATTGTGTAAGAGGTCTTGACTGGCTTTCGTTTGCGCGATATGGTCTGATCTTTACATTTGAGCAAATACGAATCCGATAAAAAATGAATCGCATTTTCAGAATCGCATTTTCACCGTTGAGAGTTGGGTCTAAAACCATTGAAAATTAACCCCCTTTAGGACTTAAGTTGATGAATTTCACTTTTAGGAATTAAGGTCCATACACACCGGACGCGATTCGACAACGCGACACGATTTTATAGTTTTTGAAAGTTAATAAAACAGCCAATGAGGGCAAATTTTGAATGATATGTGGACCAAATTACTCAAAATGTTATAGCGCTTCTAAATATTTGGGAAATTTAAACTAGGATCAAAGTTATCGTTCAGTGAAAATCGAAAAATCGCGTTGCGTTGTCGAATCGCGTCCCGTGTGTATGGACCTTAAGGCCCTGTCACGTTATTGCGTATGAGAGAAACGTATGAGAAGCGTATGAAAATTAACGAAATAATTTTCATACGCACAAAAATCCTTTGAAATGCCAGCGTACGAGTACCGTACACCTGGCGTACCTCTAGCGTATTTAGCGTGTGCCTAGAGTATGCTTATCGTATAAAGCATACGTCAAATACGCACAAAATTTTTGAAGATGCTTAAAAAAATTTTACTGCCTCGCCGTATGCCAGCGTATGCCACCGTACGCGACCGTGCTTGAAACGTATACAACCTATGCCTAACCTACCCCTAGCGTATGTCAGCGTATACCGGCGTATGAGTGATATTTTTCATACGCTGGCATCAGGGCCTTTTTTAACATACAAGCTGGGGGGGCAAATGCCCCCCAGTCCTCCCTTGTGCCCCTCCACAAAATCACATTTTGCCCCCCCAGGAAAAGTCCCTTTTCCCTAAAATTATAGAAACAAACCAGCGAAGATTAACAAATACATAAACGGAAAGTAAGTTTTAGGCGTTATCCTTTGTCCTTGTTTAACAAAATCGATTTAAATTGTTACTTTAATTTTTCTACCACTAAGTAATGATAAATTATTGTTAATAATTTTTTTATTTTTTGGATGCTCAGAATGCAGGAAATAGCATTTCCGGGTTTCAAATTTCAAAAATTTTCTTGGGATTATCCCTCTAATAAGTAATGATAAATGATGGTTAATTTTTTTTAACTTTTTGTGCGTTTTTTTCTAATTTATTTCAAATACAAGTATAGTTAGCATAAATTTTGGAGCAAATTTGGATGCTCAGAATGGAGGAAATGACATTTCCGGGATTCAAATTTCAAAAATTTTCTGGGGATTATCCCTCTAATAAGTAATCAATGATAAATGATGGTTAATTTTTTTAAATTATTGTGCGTTTTTCCCTTTATTTATTTCAGATACAAGTATAGTTAGCATAAATTTTGGAGCAAATTTGGATGCTCAGAATGCAGGAAATGACATTTCCGGGATTCAAATTTCAAAAATTTTCTGGGGGAATACCCCCCCAGACCACCCCCCATTCATGAGTGGTATATTGGCGACACATGTAGCCTTCAGCCATTGCTATCCCCCTCTAATATATTATATCACAGAAAAGTCCCTTTTCAAAAAATGCCCCCCCACGGGAAAATCCTTAAAAAAGGCCCTGGCTGGCATACGCTAGTAAGATACGCAATAGTGTGACAGGGCCTTTAAATCTTAGCTAAGCTAGAGCACTTTTACCGACAGTCAGGAAGGTCAACAAGATCTAGCAGCCGAGCAAAATACTCTTTACATTAAAAGAAACCTAAAGCTAATAACTATTGGTCTTGTGGACTTTTGCTTATAGATGCGCTTTCTCCCAGGGAATGTTGACAGGATGGCTTGGGATGAGCTTCTAACTCACTCCTGCACTCTAGCTGTGCGCTGTGATCAGAAACGAGTTATAAGGTGGCTGCCATGCAAAGGCGCCCTTAGAAAGTCTTTGACTCAATCATATTGAACTGCTTGGAACTGTACCAGCTACAGATCAGAGAAAATATACATTTCGTGGGTTGGGAATACAAAATTATTTAATACTATGTATATTACACGTGTAGTTGACTGAGAATCTTTTGAAATTCAGCATATTTCGTTCATGCATGAGTGCCAAATGTCAAACTGCACACAATACACAAGAAAAAATATTCAAATCACTTTTACACAAGATTTAATTTAATATACATGTATCAAGCAGTAGTCCGGCATAGTATTGCAGCACTACAGTATACAGAACTTTGCATGAATTTTCTGTCAGTGGAGTGATTGTAGGCTGAAATTAAACTATTCAATGCTTCAAATGTTAAAGTTGCATACAAAAACACCAACAACACAAAACGTTATTACGTTAACGAAAATAGCTCACGAAATCGTGACAGAATTTTAAAAAAAACTGTTTAAAATTCAATAAAATATCTTTTAAGAATATTAACTTCATCACCTACCTTTGTTTAATTTATTATCTACTGCCAGTACTAGTACTGGTCAAAAAAGTGAGATCGGTCGCAAAATAACAAAGATATGGCCATTCAAAGCATCCAACTCCACGTTTGCCATATTAGCCGTCTATTGTTTTACCTCGTGAGGCTTTCTTTCACAAAACGTCAAAGGTTCCGACACGAGTGAACCTTCTGCCCATTATTTCAGTCTGTGACACGACTGCACTAAAAATATTTCCTGTTTCACTTGTAGGGCGTTAAATGATAAAATTCGCATACTCGTCCACATTAAAACATTTAAAGTGCGCATGCTCAACCAGATTCTACGTCCCACACATATGAGCTGTTCTGGGAACAAAACCTCCCCAATCGTGCTATAAGTCGATTAAACCTCGAACGTGTCGGCTTTACGCTATAGATATAATCTTGACGGTCTGTGCTAATGTAGGTGAGTACCAATAATACTAGAAATACATGCATGCAGTAACCCCTCGCCTTTCTTAGTAACAGATGAACAACGGCGGCTCGTGAGCCACCTTTTTGTTCCTCCCACATGGACATCATACTGTGTATCTATAACTGAACAGACAACTGCAAAATCTTATCTATTTGTCCCGAGACTACGGTGCGAGGGTACCATAGAAATAATAGACACAGAATGCGTGCTCCTATCTTTTCTCAGTAAAAATTTTCTCTCGACAAAATGGCCAATTTATAAGGGCATTTTGGCTAGTCCCAGACTCCTGCGGCAAGGATTTTCGCGCGGTTGCAAGGAGTGCGAATTGTTTTTTTCAACAAAGTTTGCAAAAACAATTATTTTCGAGACTTCAAGTGGAAAAAAAGTTTTTGAAAGTAGAAAAACCCATTCCAGTGGGTTTTTTTACGAAAAGCGATAGTTCTGACCAGAATATATACAGAAATCGTCGTTTGAAAATGCATTTTCAACGTTGTCGTGCAAGCCAAAACAAAACACGAAAGATCAAGGCAAACTCAAACTCAAATACTAAGGTATGTTCTAAAAATATTTCCGCTGTTTTATAATATAAATGGAGTTTAGTAATCTTTTTAAACTTACACAACTACTTTTTTATATTTTTACGTTGCTTGA